AATTAGGGAAATTTTATTCATAATATCGTTGAAATATATTTAAAATATAAATTAAGTTAAAATTTAGAGAATTTAAAGGAAGTTATATTCATAATTTCATGAAAATTTATTCATTTTATATATTAAAGTAAAATAAAAATATTTTATCTAAATTATATTTATAAATTTGATTTAAATTAGTTATAATTAAGTAAATCCAAATAGAAGTTAATTTAAATTAGATTATTATAAATTTTTGAAGTTATAACTGTTTTAGATGTATAATTCAATTATTATAAACAACTAATTAATCCAAAATTAAAAATTTTTGAATGCTTTATTTTTTCTTTAAAATTTTCATTTGATTTAATATTTTTGGGATTACAATCAATTGATTTTTATTGATAAAAATGAGCCTGATTCAGAGAAAGGTAATTTTTTTTTTTTCAATAAAATCCCATTAAATGCTGACTCATTGATTAAATTTGTTCTTAGATTGTTATTTTCTTAATTTTTAATTTTTCTAATTTAAGTATGCTAAATTAAGCTGATATTTTTTTAGTTAAAATATTTTTTCATGAATTATTTCAAAATTCTAACCGATACATATTTGAAAAATATAAATTATGTACATTAATTAATTCTAAAGTAAGAAGACAGATAATCTTCGACCTTCTTACAACGAATCCAAGCCTTACTTATACTATACGAATTAATTAATTATACGAAGACCATATTAGTAAGTGTTTAAATTATGGTAATTTAATAATTTTGAAGTATTCAAGTAGAAGCTCTCCATCCAAATGGTATGCATACTTTATGTTAAAGGCTTATTGAAAACAGATACTATTGGGAAAAAATTGATATAAATTCTAAAAACTAAAAGTTAAAATCGGTAGTCTAAAGAAAAATTATTTGTTTAGCTTTAAGTTAGAATATGTAAATAAAAACTAAATTATTTCTATTTATGTAAGGGATAATTATCAAGAAATTAGAAATTGTTTTTAAAAGAAATAACCAATTTAATGAATTTTCCACAATATGATGTCTCAACAGTCAAATTATAATAAATATCAATCAATGATAATCACTTCCACAATAAGTTTGGAAAATAATAAAGTCATCATTTGTGAATTTAGGCAGGCTCCATAATGAATCTATTTATTTTTGAATTCCTTTCTTTTGGTCATAATTTTATTCATTTACATCTTAATTTAGTTTGATAACTCATAGAGTAAATAAATTAAAAAAATCATTCCAATCTATTAATGATCATTTAGTAACAATGTTACATTTAACTACTAAAATATTGTACGGAAATTTGTTGAAGTAAAAACAATTCAATTTATAAATTAAAATCAAATTTGAAAATGTTGATATTATATGATATGGATTGCCAGCCTTAATTCTTAAGATTTTGGTTTTTTAATTCGAAAATGGCCTATAAACATAGTTATCTCATATATTAAAGTCCAAAGTTAACGAAAAAAGAATCCTATTAATTAATCTCTTTGTCAACCTATGAAAATTTGAAAAATTATAGAATAAGAAAGTTGTCAAAAATAAAATGGTCATTATTGATTAATTTTGTTTTAATTTAAGGAAGAATTACTATAGATATAAAATAAATTATAATGGCTACAATTGTAGATCATGAGAAAAATAATTGGATCTCATTAATTTCAATATTTTAAATCAAGAATAAAGACATAATAATTTGTTTAATAATTGATATTTGGTGTATATATTAAAAACCTATCATATTTAATTTAATATTATTGAATCTGTGGATCTCAAAGTTTCAGACTTTAAAGCTCTAGGACTTATTTATTGTGAGGTCCTCTAAATAATAATATATTCTTAAGATGTTTCTTTCTCTTTACAGATGTTTGAGAAAATAAATATTATTTCAACTTCTTAAAATTCTAATTGATTTGTAATTACTTTTTCTCATAAAAGATCAGTTTTCTTTTAAAAAATTTAGTCAAATAATTATTTGGAAGGCAATACTTAATAAGATGATGAATAGAAGTTAATAAATTTATTTTATAAATTTTAAAATACGCTAATAAGATATTCTTTATGAAGGGATAGCATAACTTCATCCAAAGAAGAATAATGAAGAATTAAAGCATTACTGACTAATTAAAGTTATTTTGTTATTAGCTCGCATATTTTCCTATTGCTATAAAAATGGATATTGAACAAATCTAAGAAGTTTATAAATCTAGATTATTGAACTTTAGAATTATGTATGGCTTAAATTTCAAAGCGAATGCCTGATAAAGTAAAAGACATAAACCTAATAAAGATCCTTTTAAATAGATATTCGTTTCGAAGTATATAATGATAAAAATCATAATAATTTTTTACCAAATTTTGATAAATTCCCAATAATAATTCTCTTATTTGTATTCATTAAAAACATAGCATATGTGTTTTCTTAATTTGATTTCATCTAACTTATTTTTCAGTATAAATAATAATATGAAAAATAGAAAAGGTACTAAAAAACAAATAATGATGTATCCTGGAATAACAAATGACATAATCCATTATTAATGGGTATAAGTTTCATACTCTAATGATACATCACCTTAAACNTAATCACTTCCACAATAAGTTTGGAAAATAATAAAGTCATCATTTGTGAATTTAGGCAGGCTCCATAATGAATCTATTTATTTTTGAATTCCTTTCTTTTGGTCATAATTTTATTCATTTACATCTTAATTTAGTTTGATAACTCATAGAGTAAATAAATTAAAAAAATCATTCCAATCTATTAATGATCATTTAGTAACAATGTTACATTTAACTACTAAAATATTGTACGGAAATTTGTTGAAGTAAAAACAATTCAATTTATAAATTAAAATCAAATTTGAAAATGTTGATATTATATGATATGGATTGCCAGCCTTAATTCTTAAGATTTTGGTTTTTTAATTCGAAAATGGCCTATAAACATAGTTATCTCATATATTAAAGTCCAAAGTTAACGAAAAAAGAATCCTATTAATTAATCTCTTTGTCAACCTATGAAAATTTGAAAAATTATAGAATAAGAAAGTTGTCAAAAATAAAATGGTCATTATTGATTAATTTTGTTTTAATTTAAGGAAGAATTACTATAGATATAAAATAAATTATAATGGCTACAATTGTAGATCATGAGAAAAATAATTGGATCTCATTAATTTCAATATTTTAAATCAAGAATAAAGACATAATAATTTGTTTAATAATTGATATTTGGTGTATATATTAAAAACCTATCATATTTAATT